TAATAATAGAAAGTGTTAATGGGTTAGAAACTAGAGTAACATTAAATAAGCACGTTGGGTGACGTAAATCTAATTGATGCGGTTGAGTAGATCTTAACTAAATTTAAAACTAAACAAAAGTCTATTTAAAAACAGTGGTAATATGCCGTGGAGATTGAATAATGGGTAGGGTGAGGAAAGAAAATATCCTACAATAAAGAAACAAACAAGCAAGAAAAAGACGAAACAAAAATTACATATTTGATGTGAAGATAGACCGATCAGATCCATTGTATATTTAACGACTGAACCAACTTGTTCTGTATTCAGAGTTCACGATTTAACATGTGAATTGATGCCATCGCTGCTTCTGCTCTGTTTCACAACGTTTGTTTCACCGTACATTTTAGCAAGATCCCCACGTATTGTGCAGATAACAACTTTGAAGTTCCTTCCTGGAAGGGTTTGCCTGACGTCTCGATTTGGTCAGGTGTTCCAGAATAGAGCTGAGGCGGGAGGATCTTATTTCTCCTTGATAAATCCATGATTGTGAGTGAGTGTTCTTTGATACGTTGCAAAGACCTGGTGACGGTGAGGGAGCTGGACAGTTTCCTGAGTTACTCTGTCAAGCTTGCAGTAGCGAAGGCAGACATGCAGTTGCTAAGAGAATGTTTAGATCGAAATAAATATCCAAACATGTACTGAAAATCACTCAGACGCAATCAGATCCATCTGAATACCAGAAAACTCAGGTGTCATACACCAAACAATGTTGACGCACTCCAGTCACGTGTCCCTGAACTGCAGCGGAACGTCGACTCGTGAGCCCACGCAGTTTATGCTTTAAATCAAGATTTACGACAACCCTTGGAAGATCACATTCAAGAAGTGACACAAAAACAATGTGATGAGATCAAGTCAAATCTAACAAAAAACCTGAAATTGACAAGTAATGCCAAACGTCCATTCCTAAACAATCCAGAAAAATACGTATTGAGTGACGTAAATTGTGTGACTGAACGAACTCCTTCTGTATGCAGAGTTCAAGATTTAACATGTGAATTGACGCCGTCGCTGCTTCTGCTCTGTTTCAAGAAGTTTCATTCATCGCACTGTTTAAGAGAGATCCCCACGTATTTTGTAGATAACAACTTTGAAGTTCCTTGGTGGAAGGGTCTGCCTGGTGTCCCGATTTGATCAGGTGTTCCAGAATAGAGCTGAGGCGGGAAGATCTTATTTCTCCTTAATAAAACTATGACTGTGCGTAAGCGTTCCATGATACATTCAGATATCAAACTCTGGGTACGGCCAACATACCTAGCTCCACAGGTGAAGCACTTTAATTGGTAGATGCACACTGATGAAGCCAACATTTCATGCTACACTACTTATTAGTAATAATGAGAATGACTACTATTTCGCATAGTTTGTAGCCATAATTATTGATTTCCGTGTAAATTTATCTCCCGTATCTTACCACCAAATATGTAATTTTTGTTTCGTCTTTTTCCAGCTTGTTTGTTTCTTAATTGTATGATATTTTCTTTCCTCACCCTACCCATTATTCAATCTCCACGGCATATTAACACTGTTGTCAAATTGACTTTTGTTTAGTTTTAAATTTAGTTAAGATCTACTCAACCGCATCAATTAGATTTACGTCACCCAACGTGCTTATTTAATCTTACTCTAGTTTCTAACCCATTAACGCTTTCTACATTGCGTAATTTTTTTTATCTAAAATTTACAATTCTAATGACATATCTTTGGAAACAAGAACAAAGACTGACTTAACAACCAATCACAACAGACTTTGCGTGGGTGGATGCAGTTAGCAGATATATGGTCTGACCTTCAAAGAAACGGCCACAAAGAGATGATAGAATAACTTTCAGCAAGAAAATGGCCAATCAGAAGGCGCTATTTCTTTGCTAATAATAACGAATAGTAATGTACATAAAAATCTATAAATATTTGTTGATTATCTCAATAAGCGATCTGTTGCCTGAGCTTGTCTTCTGTAGTTACATAGGTAGTATCTTTCAATCACTCTACATTTTTGTGTTCAATGAGACTGAAGTTTTCATTGAGGAAATATATTGGGAAAAAAGTTGTTGTGAACAACAAATACACCTGCTTTTAAGGAATCATCTATAGTAATGGGATAAGTTGAAACAAGTAGTAATATAACTAATAAAAACATGAGTATTTCGAGTTTTTGTAAAAAAATTAACATGCCGAATTCATTACTTTCTCAGTATTCTCCAATATGGTAAGACGACAGGCACTCTGAGCGCTTTCGAATAACATTCACGTTGTCAGTTAGTTTCAAACACATTCAATTACAAGAAATCTACAGAATTTGTTCGACCTGAAAATACTGGGAAATCAGGAGTTATCGATCAATTTAACCATACGTCTTAATGCTACGCGTTGAATCCCAAATGCAGAACTTGTCTAAGTTATAGTTTTCGAATCATGAGGTGTCTAGGCTATATGTTGTAGAATTCACTTTCACTGTGTATTAGTACAAGATAGCAACACAGCTGTGACAATGGTTTCTCATAGACGGAACTGAACAACGCTCAGACATATAGGTCAGCAAAAAAGAGAGTTATTGACTAGACACTAGTTAGTACACTAGTGCCATATATCTAATCCTTTGTTTGGTGCAGACTGAATTCTATCAGTCAAGTTTGCAATGTGACCACCATCCACAGAAGGTTGGAGGCAATCGGTAGGAGGCCATATACTCACTTCGGTTTCGTGTTAGTTAGCACTCACCGGTCAGCAAGGCAAGCGTATCTGCAACATTGAAGGAACTCATGTCCGTTCTGAGATTCGAAGCCTAGTCGGCACCTAGTGCTGCAGTCAAAGAGAGACATTTCTTCTGAACTATTCGGCCTCGCAACTGATCTGCTGTAGGACTGACTGTATTGGAAACATTATTGGACACTAGTTACTATCCAATACAGTCCTACAAGAGGTCGATCGCGAGCCCGAATATTTTAGAGGAAAGGTCTCTGTCTGACTGAAGCATTGGGAGATGAGGGTTCGAGTCTCAGAAGGAACATGATTTCCTTCGAGGTTGTAGGTACTCCTGCCTTGCTGACTGATGAGTTCCAACTAGCATGAAATCTAGGTCATATATGGCTTCTTACCGATCGCTTCTAACCTTCTAAAAGGAAAGATATTCGGACAAGCATTGTTCAACAGAGAGTATAATATGAGGAATAGAATTAAAAGGAGGTTCCGTTTAACCACAAGATAACAGTTACGCTAAACAAAGTAGAATATTTGTATAATAAGTGTGATAAATTTTCACAGAAATCAATAATTATGGTTACAACCTGTGCAAAATAGTAGTCATTCTCCTTATTACTAATAAGTAGTGTAAAATTAAACACAGATGGATCAGTGATATTGGATAGATACGAAGGAATTAACACTAACAAATTATTTAAATCTGTTGATATACAGTATGTACTGATGGTTGATAACAACTATTCAGGATTCTGTCTCAGCGACAGACGGTACTTCCTGGAGGATCGATATCCTCTAAGGACTGTATGACCATTTTGTTTTTTATTCAAGTGTTGGTTGACGGAGATTTGACTGGTTACAGGATTTTATTACCAACTAACATCGGTTAGAGGAATATTGGAAAACCAGTAGGGATTACTGGACAGCCAGCTGTTTCGTCAGCCTAGTTTGGGTTTTGTTATGTACTCGTCGCTAAATTATTGTTATGGACTGGTCGAGAAACTAATAGTCCTGACGCAAGAAGGCGGAAATCAGAAGACCACTAGGTTTGCGATGATACTTCTATTGTCCAAACACAAGGAGAAGCAATAAGTGGTATCACACCAAAGAAAGAGTCACACAAGATTGTGAGAGCGAAATATATATGAATGTCCAGACAAGTGTGTGAATAAATCAATAGACAGTCTTAACATGAATGGTTAATTATAATGGAGTGTCGATCCATATATACATAGCAAAATATAGCAGACATGTCAACAACCACCATATATGGATATATGTAACCAAGCAACGGACTGTCAACAAACACTCATATTATATATAGTATAAGGGGAATATACATTGTTAAAGGAGATAGGTTCATCAAAGTGAAATGGTCACAGACTAAGCGAGAAAACAGAAAGAGAGACCACCATACACATATATATATATATATATATATATATATATATATATATATGGATACATATCAGGTTTCCTCATCAGTATATACTCAGTGGGGTTCAAACATAGGGCCTTCCAGTAATGAGAAAAGCTCATTGGTCAGTCAATGAATTCAAAGTTTTGCCGATTCACGATGTAGCGCGACCACTAGCTAATGTCGGTCCCTGGAGAATATCTGCCCTCACAACCGACCTGGTGTATATCACTGCTTACAATTTCCCAGCAGAACCGAGGTAACTACCTACATGATATTTGAGTGTTGATTTATGAGGATTTGATTGGTCACAGGATTTCATCATCAACTGACGTCGGTTAGGGAACTATTGGAAAACCAGTAGGGATTACTGAACAGTCAGCTGTTTCGTCAGCCTAGTTTGGGTTTCTTCAGCAGTACACACCACACTATCGGAGTTCAGACCTAGGACCTTTCTCTGTTTTGAACTAGAGCATAACAAGTGATGGTTCCGATTCGCTTCGGCTATAAAATAACCTGCCTGATAGAACTAGGCCGATTCCAGCTATATGAGCGAACTGTTGATAAGTGAGACGAAATATCACCTAGAGTTATCATCAGTATTATGTAGGTTTTTATTGTTCTATTGTGAATATCTTCAGGTGACTAATGGAATACTTTACAAATATACATAATCACACTGTTTCTTCAAAATACTCAGCATCAACAGAGTATCTATACACAAAATAAAATTTTTAAGGAGATGAAGAATACAGACGAAAGTGTGTGTTAAAGGCAGAGTAGAAAAAGAAAGTAAATGCCTTGTTTCATAATAATAATAATAGCAACAATAGATACTTACTGGTCTATGTGAATTTGCAGTGGAAGCATTCGATCTACCTTTCAAACTAGCTGGTCGTGGAGGTCGGGAAGGCGGTGACGGTGTGAGTTGATTCTTATCAGTTTCATTTTCAAAACCATCTAGCTTATGGTATGTTTGAGAACTTGATGTGGATGGTTGATTTCTGTTATTATCTGAATCATCTAATGGTGTCAATTTTAAATTTGTTTTCTCTGTAATATGAAAATGCGAAAATTAGATGAAAATTATCTTCTGAATTATATTAAAATATCGCAAAAATATTCATTCAGACATCTAGAAAAAAACAAACAAGAATAATTGAGCAAAGAACATTCCTTTTCGATAATTTCCTCTCCCTGCTCTACAATTATATATGCATGTTTATATACATAGAATATTCTAGAATAGTAGTCAGTAACATTAGTAGTGTTTTTTAAAATAATATCGATTTGTGAAGTAAGATCACAATGGAATTACCACAGTTCATTAAAGATGCTTAAATAATAATAATAATAATAAAAATATAATCGTAAAAAGAATATCAAATATCTCCACAACAAATTGAAGATCATTCAAACCTAGACGGTCGAGGTAAGAATAATGTCTGAACTAACTTCTTTTGGATGCACAAATTAGGCTTCTTAATCTGGATCCCAACAGTCTTAGTTATATTTAGTAGTTGAAATCATAAGGCGAAGTTAAGATTTGTTGGTATGCAGTAAATAACCCTGAAAGCATGGTTGACATCAATCTTGTGTTGTGTATCCACAAGATGAGATAGAATAGCGCTGAGAATCGATTTTGTTTGACCATTACTTAGCCACAATGCAGGATGGTGTTCGGAAATCTGACGAGAAACACGCCTAATTTTATGGCCTATGCAACTAACTGGCTCCACAAAAGCAGTTAAATTGGTCAATACACATGGAAGAGGTGAAATTAGGCAGTTCTATCTTTTACTCCCAGAGTAATTCAGTAACAGGGAATCCTCTTTTTACCGCATTTCTAAGACGTTGTGTTAGTATCTCGCTGATGTTATACCGACGAACTGAATTTTTAAGAATAAGGCCTTTTCAGGAATTGTTGTTACCTTGGGATGCATTGATTTTAGATTCATATTCTTATCAATAAACGTTTCTGGATAACCGTTTTCACTAAGCAACCGTTTAATATTATCAAGTTCCCCGTCAAGATATTCATCCGAGCACATCCGAGCTTTCTTGCTCTGTAGCGGACCAAGCACTTTATCAGACTGACTGAATAGATGATTAAACTGACCAGCTGATGTAGGTTTTCTATGTACACTTCTTCTCGTTGCACCGTCCACTTTTCTGGTCATAAAGACGTCTAGAAATGAAATACTAGTCTTTTTATTTATCATAAAATTAAGTAGTTTCTGTGGTTAGATTTAAAACAAGAACTTGATTGTTTAATGATGTAATATTTTTATATGACTTATCATTAGGTCGGTTACTAGTCATCGGTGGTAAAGGGCATTACTTATCGGAAAGGAACATAATAATTACGCAATTCAATGAAGTACATTCCGCCTACAAAATTCATATGCTAAGAGGAATCTCAAAAAAGAGAATTGCCTTCTTAGATGTCCCCCTTACAAGAAAATCAGATGGTAGTATAAAGAGAAATTTGTATGTAGGAAAAGTACATGCACAGGATAGCCTTGTTCCTTCCTATCCAGTACAAAAGAAATGTAATAAGGACACTCAGCTAGAGAGTTTCCTGAGTTACATGCTCAGAAAAGGCAAATGAGGATGAACTAAGGATCGTATATGACACCTTAATTGAAAATAGCTATCCAGACAAATTCATCAGGAAGCATACAACTGAGATAGTTGAAAAGGACTATTCACTATCCGTAAAACAAGAAGCCTTTATGCATACGACTGCAATTCAAAGGCGGTATACCTAACGAAGTAATTATGAAGAAGTTAAGGAAATCAGTTCAAAGAACTTTGAATGCTGGCAAACTATGAGTCTTATTTTCTATACGACCGATGGTGATTCTCTGATTTGTAGATGACGTACGTAGACTAGCCAATTCTAACTGTGTCTACCAATTCAGCTTCATTTGTAGTGGAGCGAGTTATACCTGCCATTGCTCTAGGAACTTGATTTTTCTTGATCGCTCGAGAATATCTACCAGTGTGCCTAAATAAACGTGTAGTGAGATACATCAATAGCTCGATATTAGACCACCTGGTCCAAACCAGCCATAAAGCCATCATTGAGAAGTCATTCTCCATCATCTGTCGGATACCAAAATAAATTGCTAAAAACATTCAGGTAGTGTATACTCCAAATAGCAAAGGTCATTGCGATTCACCTGAAACGACCAGTGTTCTGTGTGCAGAAGAAGCAGGTCCATCCCACCACTACTACTTCCCTGGCAGGCCTTCAGTGGAGACTATAAATTCATGAGTTTGTTTTATTATTTTTCCTAATTTTCCTGATATTCAATGTAGTGTCACGTTGGTGCTGTCGAACTGTATATTTATTATTGTTATCATATCCTTTCATTCCTAGAGGAACATAGGGCTTCAACTGCGCGTCCCTATTGCTTTCGGTTTTCTGCCAACTTTTTCACTCCGCTCCAGGTCTGTCCACATGCTTTCATCTCCTCTTCGCATTACCTCCTCCAAGTCACCCTCGCAATAAACACCAACTCGCCGCTTCCCTTTCGGATTCCACTCGAGGAATGGCTTGTCTAGTGATGTCATTTGATGGTTTCCTCAGAGTATGACCAGTCTATCTCCGTTTCTTCCTGACTATTTGTATCACAATCGGTTACTGCTGGGTTGGTTCGCTCATTGCCAGAGATCCCTCCCTGTTAGTGATCTTTTCTGGCCGGCCATCTGGTCTTGAATATTGAGCGAAGACAGCTGTTAATGAAGGTCTGTAGTTTGTTTGAGTTGCTCTTTATGACGCGCTGGCCAAGTCTCTGATCCGTATAGCGAGTAGCACTGACTGACTTCACATTGGAGTTGAAAATCCGGATCTTATTTTCATTTTGATGCTGAGTAGTGCTGTTGACCTCCACACAGACTTAGTGAGAGTAATGAAAGCTTGTCTTGCTTCTCCGATTCTGGCTTTGATATCCTCGTCAGTTCCGTTGGCCTGTAGTTGAAACGATGCTTCCCAGGTAGGTGAAGGAGGTTGTTTCTGTAATCCATTGATATTATTATTATTATCGATTCGATGTTATTTAAACAACATTAATGTTTTTGTTAATGACACTAATTCATTCATTTACTATAATGGATGAATATAACTGTAGAACCTGATGATGAAGAGCAGGTTATCGAAAAGAATATTTCTTTGTTCAGCAACTATTGTTTTCAAAGATACTCTTGTCTCTTTGAATATTTTCTGTCCATCTCAGTCACTTTCAGACATGATCTAGGATATATGAAATTCGAAGAACGATGTAATTTTCTTCGAAATTTATTCCTGATGCATTTACGATGTGCTTTTTGCCTCATTACCTCACCAATGCTTGTTTTAGTCAATATTTTAGCTATAAATAGTAGTGACTAGTCAGGTAGATGTGTCTACATCAATTGAGGTTATCTTCAACCCATATCAGACGGCCTGCTTAAAACTTGAGCTACCAAAAACAACCTCCATCAATATGCATTGTACATAATTCCCCTTATTAAGTTTGTTTAAATCTTGTAAAATATGACTCCGTCTAATGGTGTTGTTTACTCTGGCGGGTATTTAGAAAATTTAAAACCTGTTGATTCGCAAATTTCTACTAAACATGAGAATAAGCATTATCCTCGATGTCAGCTTATTACAATACATGAGATGACCCTTCCTGAGTGGTGTCGTTAGTTCATAGAATGTACCCCTGAACTATTTTTCATAATTTACATTCAACCAAATGTCTTCGGATATTTCTTGAAAGAGAAAAAGAAGAGATATCATCGAAATTGAATTGATTTGCAATTCAGGTCAGATAAAGCAGCGTGTCACATGATCAACTGTCAATTAATCTGTTTTATTTGAAGATCCTGAACGAAGAGAAAAATATCATGTGATACACTTCGCTGAAAATTCTGTACATTATATAAACACTATTGTATTTTCAAGGATTGGCTTGTAGGTATTCGACTAATTAGTTACAGCATTTCATCATGAACTGACAATTGGTCTCAGTGACTTAGTCATCTACGAGCTCGCTAGCCTTGTAACCAGTAGATCCTGGGTTCGAACCATGGCTGTGGGTGCGGACTGTCCAGTACTCCCAGTTGGTTTTCCAATGGTTTTCTAAATGATATCACTTCGTAGTGAATTCCTATGACTAAATACAATGATTCTTACTGTGAGAATAATATTCTGTTGGAACACATCGTCTGTGTCACACCGCCACAGGAGTATTGTGGTAAGAGCTGTCTGCTAGCCAAAATTGCTAGACAGCAATTTACGTCAATGTTTACGTCCTGAATCAGGGTCATGAGAAAAAACAAGAACAAAAACCAACTCAACAACCAATCACAGCAGCCTTAGCGTAGGCGGATACGATCCGCAGATATATGGTCTGACCTTCAAAGAAACAACCACACAGAGATGACAGAATAACCTTCAGCAGTAAATCAACCAATTAGAAGACGCTTCTTCTCTGTTTACAATAACCCTCATGATAACGTATATAAAAATCTATAAATATCTGTTGATTTTCTCTATAAACGATCTTTTGCCTGGATGTTGTCTTCTGTCGTTACAGTATCAGAAAGGTTGAAACTGAATCAGTTACTAAATAGGTAACTCTAAGGAGGAAGGAATTCTAATCAGCGTAAGGAGTAATCTGAATGCCATACGCCTGGGTAAAAAGATTCATAAAAATCAATCTACTAAACATATATATATATCGGCAATTAAATTAAAATCTCCCTCCTGAGATATTAAACAAAAACTTCAGTGAAGTAAATTCTTTCTTCGATTGTTTCATTTCCAATGCTGTACAGTCATATTTTCATAGAGATTACATGCCTCTTTTCAATTTGTATTTACTTCATATAAAGTACCTAAGAAAGTGTTCCATATGAACTCAGATTAGAAGAGTGACCTTTTAAGTGTAGTCCTTAAAATCTGGCTGGCGAGGTCATTGTCGATATATGGACGATACATTTGTGGGGTTATGAAAGATGAGATTGATGCAATGAACATCCTTGACAAGTTTAATGATGCA